CGCGTGATAAAACGTCTCAGCAAGACGGTCCCGGCCGACCCGCTCTCTGTCTCGGAAGTTCAAAAATTAATCAGGCGTAAATATTGCAAGCAGCGATGAGGCAGCGGAATGCGATAAAAAGAATAAAACGAAAATTGGGAATGTACCAACACGCATAATGAAATGCCAGTAGTCAAAAGTAACAAAAACAAAAAAGGACTTCATAAAAGGATGTACAAAAGTTATGAAGCCGGGACTGGCAAGCGCCAATGCGCACGGTCAAGACAAGGAATTCGACAAAAAAGGTAATCATATAAAAGAGCGTGAGAAAGGATATTTAGAAACCTGTATCTGAACTCCAGAAGATGTACTTCAATTACTTTTCTTCTTTTACAGCATTGAGCAGCAGCAACAGCAGTTGATTCGTTTTTTCCTTTAATAAGTTAAAAACTTTATGACTAGGTAAATCATTATTAATACACCATATACACACTTCAGCTGGGCATGAAATGAAGCATGGAATATGCCGGCACTACAAGCAGGGGAAAATGATCAGCTGGAGTCACAGTGAGACAGCAGACAGCAGCAGACAGTAGCAGGCCGAAGCTGGCGAAGGACAACAAGCAAAAAGCACATAACTAAGATTGTGATGGCAGAGCGGAGGGCCAGGGGCAACAGCTGCCATATACAATGGCCATGGCCCGAAAGGAAAACACATGTGCAAGTGGGTGGATAACATGATATAGTAGATGCAAAGGGAGGAGGAAGGGAGGTGAAGGGGGGACAGCTACTTCATAGTGCCAATGGAACAATGCGCAACGAACCAAGTTAGTTGCCTTATTCGCTGGCTCTGGCCTAAAGGGCAGCTGATCTGAAGTGTGGGCGGACCCAAGGTAGTGAGACAAAGTGCTCAAGTTTCTTATCAGGCCTGGGGTAGAAGGCGGGCCGACGCCTCGGGGAGCTGGCACCGCAAATGTGCAAAAGATTCTCGTATTTTTATGTCTGCTCTTTTCTTGTTGTGTTTTACCTTATAACTTGCCAATAGGCGGGTTGGGTATATTAAAGCTGAATTAAAGTTATGAAACTTAATGTGATGTGGGAGCGTCAAATGCTTGCTAACAATATAATTATGTCGATAAATATCGATGGGAATACTATTCACTATTCAGTACTTATCGATATCTGAATATAGATGTGAAGATATTCCTTTCTTCTGGTAAAATATATTCAGATTTTATTTAGTTGTAGCTAAGAGCAAATAGGTAATCTAGTTTATTGAAAATCGATATATATTGACTTTTCTTCAATTTCACTTTTCAGCTCTTCTACAGGGTATCTTCTACTCTGACCACCTCTGAATTCTTTTAGCATGATTTCACTTGGGGTTATTTGTTATCATTTTCAAAACATTTTCAAGCGTCATCTTTTAGTTCTCCCGTTCTTTTCGCAGCCCTAAACATCGGTTCACAAGTGCTCATTAGATTTGTGCAAATATTTACACTGCATCGACTGGCGTAAGCCGCTCCACCCTCCTCGTCTTCTAAGTCTCCCTCTTTCCAGCAGCAGCGCCGCTAATAACGACCACAAAAAATGAAGGAAAAATGTAATTTCATTGCTTGCGCAATATTTCATTTCGCGCTCAGCGCTCAAATAAATAAGAAATGATTTTTTACGAGTTTTGCTCGGGTTTATATATTTTGCGCTATTGACTTTTAGGTTTGTTTTTATGGCAGTGCGAGGTATTTGTGGGCAGAGCGGGGGTGATTGCTGGCTGCTGGTTGCTGGTTGGCTGTGACCTGCATCATGTTAAAGCAAATAAATCGCTCAAGTTGAAAAAACAGCTTGCTGTGAAGCATGGCCTGGGGGCCAGTGCAGTCAGTGCGGGCGGCCCGGCCGGAAGTACTCAAATATGTTTGCCATTAGGTAGAAGGTACTTAGAGCAGAAGAAGAAGTAGCTGTCCAAGATATTGATGGAGGCACATGAGCACGAGGTAACTGCAAGTGGGTTAACATTACGAAATGCAAGAGTGAAAGGCAATCCTCGAGTAGTTGCACTTTTCCGACCAAGCAGCAAAGGTCAAATAAATCAATGTTCAAATGATTGAGAAAAATCATAGCATAAGCAGTATATATAGCATCGAGAAAAATGTGTAACTCAAAGATTAAAGTTTACATCAAATGACATAATTGGTTCTAAATAACTTGAGAGAATAAAGAATGCATAATTCATTAGTGGCGAAAGCTTTACACAAAAGTGGGACAAATTTCGAGCAAACTTTTAACTGAAAGTTTAAGTTTACTTCATATCATTGAAAGTGTAAGCCGCAAATATAGGTGAGATGCGGCTGGGAAAATTAATGTAGGCTTCTTTAAGTTGATGTGTTAAAATCTTAATTGAAATTTGAATGTTAAGTTATTTATTATTTATTATTTATTACTTATACTTATATTGTTTTATAGTTAAAATATTAATTTGCGCACATAAATGCCCATTGAATGGCAACAAAATTAATGAACTGACTAAATATTTGTCTGGCTCGCTAACAATTATTTCAGCTCCTTCTTACTCGCCCGATAACCCTCAGGCTATGCAATGCTGATTGCTAGCAAATTCAGCACACACACAAACACAGAGAGAGAGAGAGAGAGAGAAATCTGCATAAACAAACATCTGACTTATGGTATTTGCCATTGGCAAGCAGTTGCCATATTGCAGCCTCTGCATTTCGGGTAATCAAATATTAAGCGTGCTGAACAGCTCTCCACATGCCACGCCTTTGGCCATGCATCCCACCTGCACCATAGCCACGCCCCGTGTCACAAGCCTTTTCAAGGATAACTGTCCAAAGAGTTTTCAACAACGAATCTATCGAAATGTTGAAAAAATGGGGGAAATAAACGGAAATTCCTCTTGCCACGCCCCTTGTATATAAAAAGGCTCCTTTTGACATTTTTTCACATTTCGAGCAAATATCATTTAAAACTCAAATCAAATTGCAATTAAATCCACCCAAGTATTGCGATAGCCAGAAGAGGGTTTTCAACCCCCCTTAAGTACCTACGCTTTAGCCCACTACAGGCGTTGCCTGCCTTTGACTACGGCCAGAAGTTCAGCAACGAAAATAGTTTTGCTAGGAAATTACTTCGGACAGGTGCGCGCAGGTGGGTAGGAGATCTGTAAGCCCTAATGATGCACAAAATATGTGAGTGTGTGTTTTCTGCTAGAGCCAAACTTTAATAAATAATGGGCAGCTGCAACTGACTGAGAAGGTAGTCTAAGCCAACGATAGAAACTTTTACTAAAGGCAGCCGGAATTTGCTGCTAAGTAAAATAGATCAAATTTTGCATATTAATTATGAGATCGAGCAGATACCGAATTTCGAATGCCAAATGAACGAATTGAATTGCTTAAAGTGTTTGCAAATATCATCATAAAATAGTGCAATGCAGTCCGAAGCTAATATCGAATAATAGGATATATTATAATGGCAATTATTTAAGAATAATACTATGTAAGGATATAGTTTATTAAGTGCTACTCAGTCACTTCTGAAGGGTTATTTAAATAGATCTTAGACCTTAAATAACTTGGCTTATATTCAAGAGTAGATCTCACAGCTTTGGCCATGTATTGCGAAATAAACAACAAACTTAAAGAGAACAATTTGCAACAGCTCTTCCCAGTTGTAAGATAGATAACGTACAGTGATTAGCAATCAATCAGTTTGTCAGTTTTATAACTTCTTAATTGCTACTTCCACTACTGTACAACAGAGACACAAATAGGCTGTAAACAGTTCATTTCGGATATGGATATCAAAAACGTATAATTAATTTTATAATGCAATTAAAATGCTATTTCCAGACACTTTCCACAATTGCCATAGAAAATCAGGACACAAAATTACGCTTCAATGAATCACTATAAGGCATTTGCCCCACGCCCGAAAGCCTAAAACAAATTGCCGTATAAATTGCTGCAATTATGTTTAATTAAATGTAAATTTCGGTGCACCACTCGACTACAGCTGGCAGCAGCTCCGTTTACACTCCGGCTCCGTCTCCGTCTCCGTCTCTTACTCTGCTGGCGCCTGTAGCATTGACCTTACCCAGCCCAAAGTCAAGCCAGACACGCCCACCGCACACAATAGTGGGCAAAAACGTTGCATTATGTGGCAACGAAGTTGGTGGCGTCTCCCCAACACACACACATAGTAAGAGAGCTGACAGCTGTAATCCTCCTGCTTATATCCCACATTCTGTGCAGCCACCCACTTCTGCCCCCACTCTAAGTACGCCGTAATTTACAAAATAAGCCGTAGACAGACCACAAAAAGAAAAGCGAAAAAGTAATGCATAGCAAGTAAGGCAGTAAAAGTAAAGCTAAAGTTAGTCGACTTGAAAACACCTGTGGGCAGGTCAGCTAATATTATAATACTATATAAACAGATGTCTAGCCAGATAGGGAGCACAATAAACATCTCAGTTAAACGATTTTCTTTTCTGCCTGTCCAAATTGTTGATATGAAAGAAAGTTGGAGTTCTCATCATTTAATGTTTCAGTTTTCGAAAATCTGAACTAAATCAGCTTTCGGTAAAGATGTGCAAGAATTCCATCAATCAAAATTAATTTTAATTTCATTTATAGCATTTATAGACAACAACAAATTTTCTTAAAACTCACAAAGAGTGAAATTTCTTTAAAATGTTTTTAATTTAACTGAATAAACACAATCTAGCTTATTAACTGGTATAATCTAACCAAGTCCAACATATCCTTAGGCTCAAGTATACCCTTCTTTAGCCATTGATAAAAAAGAATACAATTAGCAGGCTTCGCTATCGTTTTGCCCACACCTGCCGCTAGCTGGCAGAGCTGTTAGCCACTTGTGGCATGCCCCGCAGTCAAATTACTTCCAGACATTTTGCATTTCAAAGCATCTGACACAACGCGATTCTCGAGTCTTAAAGCCAGTTTTTGTGCTTGCTTTCGTTCAAGGGCTTCTCGTCTATAACTCACCTCTTTGACACGCGCGCCAATTAAGTTGCAGTTGTTGTTGTTGTTGTTGCTGTTGTGGCAGTTGTGCTGAATCGCATTGCTGTTCGCTGCAAGATGCAAAAAGCCGCACATGAGTCATAAAATAAATTCGTTTCAACGCCTCGTTTAAAATGTCTCTTTTTTTTCTTGCTTGCTTGAAACTTTTTGCACGCCACAGACAGAGTAGATAAAAATTTTAAAATATGCGTATGAAAATAAGAAAAAATAAAACAGCGGCCCAGCAGCAAAAGGTAAAACAATTGAAAATATGAGCAACCATTCGCGTTACAATGTATCTTTGAGGTACGAGGAGATTAAGTGCTACGTAATTTATATTTCATGCCTATTTCCTCATGGCGTAGCACTTAAAGCTTAATTTATTTAAATTCAATTTCGTATTCATTTACTTTAATATTAAATATTTACTTGACTTATTGTTGCCAACTACCCCGCCCCGCCCCGTTCATACGATGACTCATTAAGATACGTTTCTAGATAATTGAAATATTTGCGACCTGCAGTCAGCGCTCAATCGATTCAGCAGGAGACCTCACCAATACTTATACATATATATATATAAATAATTGTATGTATGTATATATTATATTTATATATATGAAACACGTCTTGACGCTCGTACCCCTTGCATGCGCCGTGCATTTTAATTGCAATATAATTCATTTGCAGTTCGGGTATGCTCTGCTCAGATATTATCTTGAGTGGGCGCTACATATGTGGGACGACAAAGTAAAACATACGCAATTCGACTGCTAAGCTACTTCCTAAAATATAGATTACAATCAGACTATAACAGTTTTTATTTAATCATAAGCTGCAAAGTTAATCCGAATAAATACCCTGTCAATTGTTAACCAGCTGAGACTAAAATTAGTCTCAGCAGATTCTAACTTTTGCCGATCTCTCAGCATTAATTTATTAAATTGGCTGCGGCTGTCATTTCACGTTCTTTATCGAAAGGTTTCGATAAGCTCGTATACTTAAAAATTGTCGCTCGATTGATTTCGTGACCTCGTTAACTGCACTCTTGAATTACTTTTCTAATGATGTAAAGTTTTTCTATAAGCTCGAGGCTCGTTAGGACTTGACGTAACTGCAACTGAATGCTCGGCGGGCACATGCCGCAGGCTTAACAAATGTTTGCTTATACATTGTGAACTCGGTTTCTATTTACATTTCAATCTGCTAGCACAAAGCCGAGGCCAACGCCGGGAGACGCCCCAATGGGGCAGTGTCATTTACAGCATAGCTCTCTCTCTCTCTCTCTCTCTCTCTCTCTCTCTGTCTCACCTGGAAAAGTTTTGCCACAGAATTTTTACCGTAGTTTATGGCAATATATTTCAGCACATTTCTTGAAGGAAAACAATTAAAGTGAAATATTTTTTGGTTGCATAGAGCTGAAACGTACATTTATATATTTGCCATTGACTTTTCAATATTGTTACTTTCTATTTGAATGACATTCATTTGGGACTTGGCCTAAATTTATTTTACCCAGTAACCATAAAATATGCCTAAATCTGGGTATATTTTCTATATGGGCAAGCATGCTATTTACAAAAATAAAAGACAATATATTCCCAGCAATATATTCTTTGTTTGATAATTTCCCTAATATCGATTTAAATCAATGTTCAGCTTAGGATTCCTGATCTATCTATCTAAGGAAATGCGACAAACTCGACATAAACAATTAAATTCTTTATATTATAATTATTATTTAAATAACAAATGGTAGATTCGAAATATCAGTTATCAAATTTTTTACAACTTTCATTTAATAAATGAAGAAAATATTAAAAAATTGCTTATAGAGTGAGGCAAAGAATACTTGACAGGATAACTGTCAGTCGGTCACTGCCCAGTAAAACACCCTCAGTTATTTAGGGTTATGGCATCTAATGAAATTCGAAGCAATTAAAGAATACCAGCAACCGCATTGGGGATATGTGGCAATAAAACTTATCACAGGCTGTCGAGAGTTGTGACACTGATTGAAAAATATAAACTGTCTGGCAGCAAGGAGACAGGCAGCACAGCACAGTACGGCAGACAGAGAGAAAGATAAATGAGGGAGAGAGAAACAGAAAGAGAGGGAGTGAATGAGGGACTGAGAGATGACTTCGCATGTTATTAGCATTTTTGCACACATGCATAAATTATGCAAAGCTCGGCGCAGACATCAAAATGTATTTCAAATATTTGGCTGGCGAAAGTGTTGAATACTTGCCACAACTCCTCAGGCTGGCAGGATGTGCATAGGAAAAGGCACATATACAACATACACATACTCTAACTTGTAGGAGAGAAAGTTTTGCTTGCTTTTGCTCCAGCGCTTACCTAATACAAACTAAATGCCGTGTTGCCCAAATATTTTTCTAAATTTATTTTACTACACTTTGAGTCGAGTTTGTAGTTGATATGAGAGTTTCCCACCCGAAGCAAAGAAAACCTGTAAGAAATGCTAAAAAAAACTTTCGAATAAATTCATATTAGCAAGAACTAATTAGTGCATCAACTAATTAACTTAACAAAAGGCAACAGTTGTGTGGACATCCAAAACAAATAAACCATTTAATGAGTCTCTGATTGACGACTAAATGAAAGCACATTCTATATTTATATGTGGCAATAATTTTATTCTAAGCCTCGACTCACTGCAGACTAATTGAAAGATAGTATTAAGTGACTGTCAACAATTAGAAACGTATTAAGACAGACACTTAAAGAGGATTTAAGTGCTTGCAACATTACAGCTTAGCAAGAGCTTCACAACCACATGGAGACGTTAATTGAGTCATTTGTGACTTATCTATGATGGGTCTAGCTTCAAATATAACTATGGCTAAAACAAGTCAAAAATCGCCTTGAAGTTGAGTGAATATTTGATTATTGGAGAGCCTATATATTAATTACATATATATTGGGAATTTGAGTATATACAATACATTATTATTACTAAATGTCAGACAAGCAAATTGCATGATCTAATTATAATTATATTATAACAGGTATTATATGCATGCAAACATACAACGAGCTTAATTTGTAATTTCAATTGAATTGTTATACAATAAATATTTTGAAAATTATTTTCTAATGGACTACAGGTTTAACATAGTTGAACATAAATAACATAGTATATTTCATATAAAATTGATAAAGCTCCCAGTTCAACCTTTTTCAATTATTGCAACGCTTCCACTTCAAATGTAAGCTTTAAATTGTGGTCCATTCACTGAGCTTCTAAATAATTTCCTACAAAGCGATTCCAAAACTTTGGTCTATCAAAAGGAATATATACACACTGCATGCGAGTAAAAGAGAACAAACTCAATTTCAATTAGTGAATGCAAGTAAAAACTTAAAAAAAAAAAAATTTTAAAACACGGCTGAAAGCTTCTCTTTGAGTCGAACTCTCGGCCTAAGCTAAACTCGAGTTGAGTTGAGTCGATGCTGCGACTCAGTTAAAAGTTGACAATTAAAAAGTTTGCTGCTAGGATTTTGTTGCTATGGCTGTTGCTGTTGCTGTTGCAGTTGCTTTTGCTGTTGCCGATGCAGTTTTTGTTGCTGATATTGTTGGTGCTGCTCTTCTTTCTGCTGGCTGTCTAAATGAGTATTTTTTCCTGTCAACAGAAGCAGCGCAGACAAAGTTGGAGCCAACTGCAAAACTGTGCAAATTAGTTTTGTTTTTAATTTAGCATGATTTAAATTATTCCCCATGCTTTGTCCTTTAGCAACTGCTGACGACTCGAATTCTTCCTCTTTGTCTGCGTCTTTTGCGTGTGTTCGACTAGTTGGCATATTAAATAAAATTCTTTCAACAAGTTGTCGCTGCTCTGGCAGGGCCAGCGGGCGAGCGAGATGGCAATATGGAGTCATCGAGCTTTTTGAGTCAGTTCTTTAATCAAATTAAAGTTAAATTTTCAAAGCTGAAGCCAGTTTTGCAGGCGCAGTCGACGTAGGCGTGTGGGCGGGCGACAACGACGACAACGATGACGTCTGCCACAGACAGACTGATAAAACAACAGCAAGTCACATATTCACACAGAGACACAACACACACACACACTTACCTATCGGACCGCTGCGACTGCGCTGCTTGCGTTGTCGAAAACTGGTTTTGTGTTGGCTTCGTCTGCTGCTTCGTTTGCCGCTGTTTGCTTTTTCTGCTTGTGCTGGCTTTTGTGTATGTGTATTGGTGGAGAAGTAAGCACTTTTTTTCAATACCTTTTCATTTGTTGCGAAATATACTCGACTCGACGTCTCTCAATGTATTTGTGGTCGTTGTTGTTGCTGCTGCTGCGCCATATGCTACTTGCAATTAATTAAGCCCAACAATTGGCCAGCAAACAAAAGAAATCAACGCGACACACGGTAAACACGATATACAAATGCAAATATAGGCAAAAACTCAAGCACACACACCGACACGCATATAGATGAATATAGATGCGTATGTATGTATGTATAAACTGTGTGCTTCACTTGTCGCGCGCGCCTTTAGCTCCGGCGTAGGCGGCAAGAGTGCGTGAGAGGAGCTGAGGGGAGGTGCGGCAGTTACCGCGCCACGGGCGACTACGACAAAACGGGTATGCGATCCACGAATGCGCGACAAAACGATGCGCTGACGTCCGCACAGCACAAAATTTATAAACAAACTGAGCTGGCGGCGACGTTGGCGTCGACGTCGCCATCGCCGGCAGCCAACGCCAACCAGGTTGCGTTTGAACTTTGGTCGAGAACTTGTTTGCTGCCTGCTTGTGTGCGAGTGCCGCTCTGCGTGTGTGTGTGACTCTGGCTGTATGAGTGGGTGGCATGAAGAGCGGGCTTAAGCGCGACAAACGGCACAGTGGGACTGAGCTTGACTAAGTACAAGAATCAGGAAATATTGCTAAAAATGCCAAGCTCAAACTATATTATTTATAATAATATCTAAAATCCATAAAATATTTTTAATTATCAAAAATGGGAACTTTCATTTTGCAATTATTTTATTTTCTTTTTCTTTAAATATCTTTATATAACAATTTACGAAAAGCGATATCTAAATTCTTTATTAAAGGAATTGAATCTAATATTAAATTAAAATAAAAGACAAAGTAAAACTTATAGCTCAGCCTAGCGCTGACCACTGCCATACAACTTCAATGTCGACTCTCGCTTGCAACATGTTCAAGTTCGATGTGCTGCATTAGCATAGCTACAGTGGAACATGCTGCCATCGAGGCAAGCAACAGCAAATTGCAACAACAACAGCATTAGGTAGTTGTAACGGGCGTCTCCGACTTGTGGAAAGCTAGTCACAGCTGACTCATAAGCGAAACTCAGGGAAGCAAATAGCCTGGCATACAGACAGCTCTTATAGTTCAAGGGTATTTTATAGTCGTTAACAAGTGCGAGTTCAGGGATTTGTGCTTAGCTGTTGCTGCTGGCTTAAGCGGCGCTGTTGACGTTTTTGCTTTAACATTTTTGTTTTTTTTTGCTTTTTTTCTTATTTTTTTATGTATTTTGATTTTGTGTTAATTTCTTGTGCTGCCGGCTGTCGCCTTGGCTGTCGCAGTTGCCGTCGCTGCCGGCGTCGCTGCTGTCGCTAAGTCAATTTTAAGGTATATTTGAATTTCATTTTTTTGTGTGTAGTTTTCCTCTGCTTCGGTTTGTTTGCCTTCTTTCACTTTTTGTCGTTTTCTCGTAATTTTTTTATTTTCGGTTTTTTTCGTTTGTCGCCTGCTGCTGTCGCCTAGCAATATTTATGTTATTTTTAGTGTTGCATGTAAATTTGTGTGGCATCCACGCTGCGGCAGCTACGCGACGCATCGTCTCTATGCTAATGAGACAGCTTTTATGCCAGTCCATAACTGGGAGAGACACACGGAGCTCAATATATTCAATTGCCTGTTGCACAAACTAATAACAATTTAATTTTCAATCGAATTATGCAGGCTCTGATGAGCACACGCAAACAGGACCCACCAATACACATACATATATAAATATACATATATATATATATATGTTGCTTGTCAATGACTCCAATTTTAGGGCCATTGAATTGGATGTGCATAAAGCAAGTTCGCACGGCCAACAAGCGAAGCATTACCTATTTCCAATCATACCACAATTACAAACAGAATTCCTCATATGGAATTGCGTGCACGCAGCGTAAACTGCATTTCGCATGATAAGCCCTAACCAACGGGAACAGAATAATATAATTGAAACTCGAAAGTGATTGAATTTGCTTCTTGAAATTCGAATTCAATTTTAGAGGGAAGAAATCTAAATGCACGAATTTAAAAACTCATCAGCTAGAGATACAAGGAGCTGTAGTAGAGTTTCCTTTATATATACTTATATACAATTTTGTAATGAAATGAAAGACGATGGTAACTGCGTTTGGCTGGCTTATTGATAACGATAATTAAAGAGACGCACAAAGGATTTGGCGCACCTTTTATGCAGCCGAAACCCGAAGCCAAAGCAACACAATCAACAAGGAAAACAACAGTTGGGCGAAGGCTTAAAACGCTGCACACGAACAGTCGACCACGTTAATGATGCTGCACGCTCGCGGCTGTATGGTTGTATGAGTGTGTGTGTAGGTGACTGTGTGTAGGTGACTGATGGAATGTGGCAGGTGCAGCAGCCGGCACCAAATGCACTCATGCAGCTTGATTGCCCACAGACATTTGCCAATGACAGCAACAGGAAAAAACTTTTAATCGTAACTACATGTTCGTCCTGGCAAGACACTAACTGGGCTCCTACTGCAAATGCCGCCGCTGCCAGAGTAACCAGAGAGGGCGTGGCAAGTGGGGTGAACCAAAAATGTTGTAGGTTATGCAGAAACGTAGACCAAACCCGTATTCGGCTTCAGTATTGGTCTCGGCACCGTGCGCAAATTGGCCCGTATAACACACGCAGGTACACACACACACACACGCCAAGGTAGAGCCCATTGAGCGCTTAGTTATTGGGTTTATGTCGGTCCATTGGTTGCAACTTCTGCTTAAACGGCTGGCACGTATCGAATCCCAACAGGGTTATTTAGAGCAGGGAGATCTTCTTAACTTCCATTCTTTGTGGATGCAAAGGACTAGTGAGAGAGACAGAGTGAAAACGTCTGGTTAAAAAATAGTATAAGCTTCAAATTTAAGGAAAACTTAAGGAAAACAAAAAAAATATAAAAACAAACTTTACTTTGCATACAAACTTGGTTTACAAATTTAGCAAATTTAGCAAAGCTTCGATATTTTTCGAGACTTGTTTCAATTATTAATTAAGTTGATTTGAATTCTCCTATTCGGGTATCCCTTATTCATTTGAGATTTGAGGGGAAATTTTCTGAATCGTTAAGTGTTTCAAATGAACTAAAAATATATTCTTATAAGTGCTCCCATTCATCAAGCAATTGCAAGCAGCAAGCTAATTGTTAAAGTCGCGTTAAACTGGAAAGCAACTAATGTAAAGTCTAGACTGGAAGTGTTCAAATACTGTTGATTGACATTAAGCCATTAGGCGCCTATGCTAATTAGTTGAACTGCTCATTCAGCTACTCATTGGCATCAAGTTTGACAGCTGTTTATCACTCATACGCCCCATTGGCTGCGTCATTTACGCTCATTACTAACGCTTACTAACATGAATTGCAATTTATACATATTTTTCGCTGATCATATTGTTGTTGCTATGGTTGTGACTGCTGTTGGGCATATCTGCCAGCTGCGGTCACCTGCGGTCTAATTAGTCCGCTTTGTCTGCCTCGCTAGCATTTAGTTTGACTGCCGACAAAGTTGCAGCGCTTTTTGGCGCCGGTTCGCGTCCAGCATATTGACGTGATTTATGAACGGGCTGTAGATAAACATTAAATATAAAAGCTTCCAAAAAAACTATTGGCCACTGCAGGGTAATGAGGTCCACCGTAGTAAAGCTGAAATTGGATGTGTAACCATGCAAGCCGCTTAACTAAAAGTCACAGCTGCCCCCGGATGTGCGTGTATGTGTGTGCGTGTGTAAAAGAAAAAAACACTGCATCCTAATGACCCAAACGGATTACGTCTCGCACTGCTGGCATTTAATATTTTTTCAATTCATAAATTTAAATAAGCCGCGCGATAAAAAATGGCCAGCCAGCAAAGGCGTTGAGGCGTCCTTTTTGGCCTTTCTCTTGCCTTTTTTGTTGTTCTCCTTTAATGCGACGATATAAAATTTAATTTTGCATAATTAATGTGCCACTACAGCCCAAACATGACCAGAAGAAAATTCATTAATATGATTTAGGCACCCCGCAGCAGAAACACAAAAAAAGGACAAATTCCCCCAAGGGGCCAAAGCTATTTAAAGTATATTTGTTTGGGTCGCAAACGCTCCATGCATGGCTGACTTTCGGGCAACCCTTGGCCAAAAAGGTTCGAGAACAACAAAAAATCCCAACAGAAAACAAAACAATGAAAAAATAAACACAAATCTATAGCCAGTTATGTCGCATGGCCAAAAAGTTGGGCGGACAAAAAAACAACAAATCAAAAATTGCTCAGCACACAAATACACTGAGGTGACCCAGAGACGAAGCGCGGAAATTAATTTAAGTAATTGAGAAACAAAATTAATTAAATAAACTTACATATATTATTTGTATTTATTTATATTTGATTTTTATATATTATATTTATTTATTAAAAAACATATTTCTATATCTACTTCTGTACTTCGTTTTTGATGTGAAATTTGCAGAGATTTCCAGACCACCTTAGAATATATATATATATATATTTTTTTTTGCTTTCTGCTTATCAAAGGTCTGACATAAATATTAAAATTGAAAAGAAAACTCGTCTCAAAATTTGTTTTAAATCAATTTGATTAAAAGATGATTGACTGGCAACCAAAGGTTTTATGCCACTGTTTTTCATTCACTTGCTAAGTTCGAGAGGAATTTTTGTAAAGCATCCATTTACAATACAATAAAAGTCAGTTGGGGTCAAGAATCAATCAAATTGTTAAGTCAAACAGCTTCACATAGCCATATAACTAGATGGGCAACAACTGGGCTGCAGGCTAATGAAGCATCTATGCCGTGACTGATGCGTATGCCGTAAGCAGTCCAATCTAAGACTTAGAAATGTCAACCAGCTTTAATTGACTTAGATGAAATTTAGTTAATTAAATTTTAAGTCAGTATCTAAATTACTAGTACTATAAGATAAGCCATGCATAAATTTAATTGTTTAAGCTGCCAATATTTACATCTTATGCACATATATCTGCAGATTGTCCTTAGGTATTATCTGCTGAATGTTATCAAAGCTCACTTCGTATTTCATAAGTTGCCTAATTTAGATTAATTTAAACGTGTAAAATATCTTATCTTTATAGTGTTTTTGTCGAAGTGTATTGAGCTAGCTGCTAATGTGCAGCCTATAAACTTGACACGTACGATTTTCGGGACATTTAAAGAGAATTTAATCAGCGCGTGTCAGGCGCAAGGCTGCGGCTTTTAATGTTAGGCGAGGCAGTGTCTGTGTGAGGATATTCACAGGGCTCTCTCTGGGTTTGTGTGTGTGTGGGTGTGTCCATCCAACTATTGCTGCTTTGAACAGTCTGCGCCGCCCTGAGCCCCAACGTGGTTTATTTGTATTGGCTGTGG